GTCTGAATTTGGCAATAAGGAGTTAATGATCTGAGCCACAGTCAGCTCCCCGTCTTGTTTTTGCTGACTGTATAGAGCTTCTCCATCTTTGGCTGCAAAGAATATAATCAATCTGATTTCAGTATTGACCATCTAGTGATGTCCATGTGTAGAGTCTTCTCTTGTGTTGTTGGAAGAGGGTGTTTGCTATGACCAGTGTGTTCTCTAGGCAAAACTCTGTTAACCTTTGCCCTGCTTCATTCTGCACTCCAAGACCAAATTTGCCAGTTACTCCAGGTATCTCTTGACTTCCTACTTGTACATTCCAGTCCCCTATAATGAAAAGGACATCTTCTTTGCATGTTAATTCTAAAAGGTCTTGTAGGTCATAGAACCCTTCAACTTCAGCTTCTTCAGCATTACTGGTTGGGGCATAGACTTGGATTACTGTGTTATGATTGGTTTGCCTTGGAAACGAACAGACATCATTCTGTCATTTTTGAGATTGCATCCAAGTACTGCATTTTGGACTCTTCTGTTGACTATGATGGCTACTCCATTTCTTCTAAGGGGTTCTTGCCCACAGAAGTAGATATAATAGTCATCTGAGTTAAATTCACCCATTCCATTCCATTTTAGTTCACTGATTCCTAAAATGTCTATGTTCACTCTTGCCATCTCCTGTTTGAGCACTTCCAATTTGCCTTGATTCATGGACCTAACATTCCAGGTTCCTATGCAATATTTCTCTTTACAGCATTGGACTTTACTACCATCACTAGTCACATCTACAACTTGGTGTTGTTTTTGCTTTGTCTCTGTCTCTTCATTCTTCCTGGAGTTATTTCTCCATTGATCTCCAGTAGCTTATTGGGCACCTACCAACCTGGGGCATTCATCTTTCAGTGTCCTATCTTTTTGTCTTTTCATACTGTTCATGGGGTTCTCAAGGGAAGAATACTGAAGTGGTTTGCCATTCCCTTCTTCAGTGGACCAGGTTTTCATCATGCATGATCCGTCTGTCTTGGCTGGCCCTACACGGCATGGCTCATGGTTTCACTGAGTTAGACAAAGCTGTGGTCCATGTGATAAGATTTGTTAGTTTTCTGTGATTGTGGTTTTCAGTCTGTCTGCCCTCTGATGGAGAAGGATAAGAGGCTTAAGGAAGCCTCCTGATGGGAGAGATTGAATGAGGGGGAAAATGGGTCTTGTTCTGATGGGTGGGGCCATGCTCAGTAAATCTTTAATCCAATTTTCTGTTGATGTATTCATAAACTTAATTATCCCATCAAACATTTTTTTTCCCCAGTGAATCAAGCCATTGATTTAACTGTCCACTGGTTGCTTTCACATTTTGCATATTTAGCCCAAGATTTTATAACATTCTTAATAAAAACAATTACAATAATATTTAGTGAACACTTTATTGTGCTTTCATTTATTTCTCATAATAACCTGATAAACAAGATTCTCTTATTATTCCAACTTTACAGATAATGCAACTGAGGCTTAGAAAGCTAAATAACTTGTCCAATGTCAAATTGCTAATAGTGAGAGACTTAAACACTGGCAAAACCCCCATTTTGATTCCAATTTACTAGCCATGTCTAACAAATATGTTTTGACATTCAAATTACCTGAAATGGCCTCATTATATAATTTTGGTCTCCTCAGTAGGTCAACGAACTTTGAGACAGACCATCCAAGTACTTAAAGTTATTTTAATGATAAGTAGGTTAAACAAATTTGAAATGCAAGACTTGTTTTTACAGGCCATAACTCCTTTCTAAATAATTCATTATTCATTTAGCACCTCGGCTTGGCACTACCGTCAGTGCGGGCATGGTGGGATATATAAATACAGATCCCAGTCTAGTGAGAGAAGTGTGAAGTTTGAAGGAAGTAAACAAAGTACTGGCATTTAAGAAGGAGAAAGATTTATTCTTTTAGGATGGATCAAAAAAGGCTTCATGGAATCCCTCCACCTAAATTGCTATCTCTCCCAGGCACCCCTCAGGCTCACTTTGTCACCTCTCCCAGGTCATTGCCAAAAGTTTAGCTACTCATGGGACTTTCCCTGACCACCCCATTTAAAACGTCTCCCCGGCATCTGTCATCCTACATCTCTGCTTTGCTTTCTTCATAGCACTTATCATCTCTTGGTGTACCATGTGCCTTTCATATTTATTGACTTCCTGTTTGTTTCCCCACATTACAATGTAAGGTGCCTGAGGGCAGGGCCCTTTGGTTATTTTGGCCACTGATGTAAACCCAGTTTCAGAACAATACCTAATATAGAGTAGGGAAACAATACATATTTATTCAATGGATGGAGGAAATAAGACTTAAGCTGGGCCTGAAGAATGGTTAGGATTTAGCTAGACTGTGGTGGATGGAAGAGAATTCCAGGTGAAGGGCATGACTTAAGCAAAGAGTGGAGGCAGCAAATTACATAGCCTGTTCAGTGTGCTGGTCAACTTGGTTAAAATACAAAAATATGGTGGGGCATAGTCTGGAAGTATCTATTATGCAGACCTAAGTGACTGTGATGGCGGAAGCGACTTAGCAGCAGCAGCAAGTGACTGTGATAATTTTACAGACAGCAGGAAGCCCATATGATTAGGACTCTTAAAGGATATTTAGCCTTTAAATAGCCTTAATTTAATATTTAACAATTCAACAAAATCATTTCAGGTAATTCAAATTTAGGGATTGAACTGGGATGAGTGGGTGGTGAAGCTAAAATAATCGTAAACCTTGACAAAAAAGCCCACTTTGGTTTCAGTTAACTGTTTTCAGCAAATATAGTTCAACATTTGAAAGAAGAATGTATTTCTTCTTTTTTATCAAGTTAGGAAGACTGAATCAGATACAACCTCTGGCCTCGCCCCTCTCATGGCACAATGTTGAGTTAGCACTGTGGGTGGTATGAGTCATGCCGGGGCCCCTTCCTTCACTTGACACCCAGCAATAACCCAATACACATGGGTGTGAGTAAGAGCCACACAAATATGTCCGGCTAGACCCAACTTCCCTTAGCTAAACCTCAAAAGTGCCTGTAGCATCTCTGATGCTAGATAACAAGTGAGACGGAAGATAGAAGTCAGAGTGTCAAGAGGCACAAGCTGTGATGAACAAGTATGTAACATCTATCTACATCAGCATCTGTCTATGACCACGGGAACTCATTTCTAGGACCTTAGAAGAAGACAACAAATAAGGGGCCCTAAAGTTTTCTTGGCTTCATGGTAGAGCTGCTTCTGGAACTCTGAAGGGTGAAAGGTGAATTGGGAGGAAGTCCAGGGGAGCATGAGATACAGGTGAGTGAGGAGGCAGTTGGCACAGGAGTCTGAGCAGAGAAATGTGTGAGAGAAGATACAGATGAACTACATGATGATACCTGGCTATTGAGCCAAAGGAAGTGGAGAGGTCAAAGGTGTCAAAGTCAGACTTTAGGATACTAAGTAGAACTCTGGGAGTGAAATATTCTTGTGCCTAAAAGTTTCTTTGCACAAAAATTCAAAACAAAAGAGTACCCTCTTTTGTTTTCAGGTTCAGATATACTGTACTTATTCCGTTACTGATGCTCAAATGAACACATCTTTGGCCAGTGGAAGTCACTGCAAGGTGACTTCTAAGCCTACCGACATGAGGCTTCCTTGCTTTCTGTTATGATGAACTGTTCTAGGCTTGTCTTGAATGCCTTCTGTGCCACACCTAGGTTCTACCAAAGAGCCAGTAAACTCCATGTTCTTCTAGTGAGAAATTGTATTTCAAACCATCTCTGGTTCTAGGGATGCACATGGCTACTGGGTCAGCCTGTTTATAGGCCTTTTTTACTGGACAGAACCAGGACAAGGTGGATGTGCATAGACACACACATATGTGTCTGCATATATTTTGCACCTTTGGCACAATAAATACTCTACATTTTTAAAAGAAACTGCTCATTGCCTAGTGGTATGAACAAAGCAAATTTAAAGCAATGAAAGCAGCAAGTTTTTAAATGAGCTCTCAGTGACGTGAAAGAAGTAGTGCAGATTTCCTGGGTGACTTATTTATAAAGAGAAGTAAATTTAGGCACCAGGGGTATTTGGCTGACAAATTAGTGGTTCAGTATATGGAACCTTCACTTTAGCATATTTTAGCTGTTATGCCTTAGAATATAAAATCACCATGCTCCATGAGAGTGACCTTTTGAAGTTTGCAATATTTTTATTAGAGAAAGCACTGGATAATCAGTAATGTTGGTTCTAATTCCATAGCCACAAACAGTGACAACCACAGTTTATATATGATGACCCTGTGCCATATCAAGAAAATTCCTCCACATTTTAAGTTATTAGAAAATATATAATTGATTTAATTACAGAGAAGAAAATAAAAACAATGATGTTCAACTGTGGAAATGATAAGTCCTTGAGTTGACTTTTCTTTTGAGCAAGAGTTTACTTCTTTGAAAATTAAAATTGGGTTGTACAGAATTTTAAATCTCAAAGTCTTTCCATTACCAACATAAGCTTTAGAGAATAAATATATTACCATGAGAATGTACCCTCAGGTTTTACTGTTCACATATATTTGAAATACTGAATATTTAATAAAATAGTGTTATTAAAAGTTATTTAGGCTACATTTGATAAATTTACCTAATACTTGTCTTTGCTTATATAAATATAAACACTTAAATAATACCTGATACATCTCAGATAAACTATTTTTCACATCGTAAATGAATTTTGACCAAATATCAAAAGCACTGAAAAAAAACTGAAAACACTGAAAGAAATTATATAATTGGTCATAGATGTCACCTTTCAGAAGATAAGCAAACATTTTTAGCTTTCAGTGCTATAGGATAATTGATCTTTGGGCTATGAAGCAGGAAAATAGGTTTCATCTTCTCTGCCAATTCCAATAAACTGAGAACAACTTCCTGGGGCTCTGTGTTGGGATGAATTCTGAGAGTGCTTTCAGGCTCCGAGGGAAAAGAGAACTGTCATCAATGAAGGAGTGGGGCGTCATGGGCATGTGTGCTAAGCATTTGGTGTCCATGATGAAATTGCATTAAAAACCCCCACAATAAACATCATAGACTTACCAGACAAGCCACCCACATCCATCTTCTTCAGGTTCTTTGCCTCCAGAATGACAACAGTCAGCTTGCCAGCAGTAGGTACATAGCGAAGGGAGAAGCAGATATCACCCAATTTCTCTTGCTATGAAAACCAATAAGAAAGTGTAAATAATCTTTCAAATAAAAGTGAATGCAGTTTGTATATATACATTGTAAACACCTCAGGAAGGAGGATTATCACAATTAGAATCGGAAAACTCTTACATCCACTGGCATTTACTCAGTGGTCTTTCATTCACTAAGGTATCATCAAGAGTGACTGTATCTTTCAGTTTTTAAAGAGCTCATTTATACTTTAACATTCATCAAAATACATCCATAATTCACTGGTTCAGGAGATGAGATCAAGATGACTTTTTAAGAGATTACATTCTGAATGTACTGTAGAACTCTTGGCAAGTATAACTTGATTAAATAGCTTTGAAAAGAGACTAACGTTTTTTTTTTTTTTTTCTGTAGAATCAACCTACCTCCTTTTTTTGTCTTTTTACATTTCAAATAGGATTATGTGTAATATCTAGACGTTTGGAGGAAATGGACTTGCCTTTGTGTTTTTAAACTCTATTTATTGGTGAGAAATTGTAAATTCCTAATAGCAGAAATACAACAAAGTATAAGAGTTTGCACTTTTAGTTTCACTCATTGAGGTCTAAATTTCTTTTTCCTTATCCTAAAATTTATAAAAATCTAAGTGATGGTTTAAAAAGTGAAATATATAGCAATACAAAATTCCTCACATGCCCTCGAGTTATTTCATTGGTACCATATTTCAGTTCCAAGAACATTCACCAATCCTATATTTGAGCATTTCTGAACAACTGATGAACAGCTTAAAGTGATGATGCTGTGCAGAACTTTTACCTTTTTCAGAAGACATCTATAAGTTCAACTGTCCTAAATGTCTTACTCTTTAAGATAACTAAGGACTGTATTGAACACAAGCAAGATTTTTTTCATTCATATTTATAAGCATGAGAGAGGGGCAAGGGTGTAGACTCTGTTGTATTCTCAGATGCTGGAGGCACTAGACTGTTCCCTGATATATGGGATTAAGTATATGTAAAGGGCCTCTTGATGAAAGTGAAAGAGGAGAGTGAAAAAGTTCATTTAAAACTCAACATTCAAAAAACTAAGATCATGGCACCTGGTCCCATCACTTCATGGTAAATGGGCAAACAATGGAAACAGTGAAAGACTTTATTTTTGGGGCTCCAAAATCACTGCAGATGGTGACTGCAGCCATGAAATTAAATGATGCTTGCTCCTTGGAAGAAAAGCTATGACCAACCTAGACAGCATATTAAAAAGCAGAGACATTACTTTGTTGACAAAGATCTGTCTAGTCAAAGCTATGATTCTTCATATATGGATATGAGAGCTGGACTATAAAGAAAACTGAACACCAAAGAATTGATGCTTTTGAACTGTTAGAGAATGCTCTTGAGAGTCCCTTGGACAGCAAGATCAAGCCAGTCAATCCTAAGGGAAATCAACCCTGAATATTCATTGGGAGGACTGATGCTGAAGCTGAAACTCCAATACTTTGGCTACCTGATGCAAAGAACTGACTCACTAGAAAAGACCCTGATGTTGGGAAAGATCGAAGGCAGGAGGAGAAGGGAATGGCAGAGGGTGAGATGGTTGGATGGCATCACTGACTCGAAGGATATGAATTTGAACAAGCTCTAGGAGTTGGTGATGGACAGGGAGGCCTGGCATGCTGCAGCCCATGGGGTCGCAAAGAATCAGACTTGACTGAGTAACTGAACTGATGGCAAATCCAGGTTTAATTCTTTGTATCTTTCCCCCACCCCCACTGCCAATAATTCCAAAGAAGGTAATGTAATAGTTGTGTCAGACCTCTGCAGATAGGTTTCTAACACGGGAATGAGGTGTAGAAGGACGTATCCTCAGGTCTTCTCCTGTTGTATTCCTAATATGACTGCTTTTGGCCTTCTATATAACTTGACATATGTTAAGTTAGCTAAAGTAGCCAGACTCTCCACTGTGGAAATAATAGCCTACATATAATCCAACAATTTAAGAAAATGCAGTTCCTGTTTTGGGGTACTCATTAAATCCATCTTTCAAAAAGGAAGGGTATCTACCTGTTCTATGATTTATCTTTAGGTGAGAAGTAATATTTTCTGTGTGTGTGTGTGTGTGTGTATGTGTGTGTTTGTGTAAGAGAAAAGGAGAGAGAAAAACAGAGAAATGGTGCTGATGTAATGTTTTTGAAAATATCACTGTGTGTAGAGCCATGGTTCTTTCATTCCTTGAGTTCACACAGTGTCTTACTTATGTATCTCATATGTTACTGAGGATTTTAATTTGGTCTTACCTGTGCAAGTCTTAATTTTCCCACATAACTATAAATTCTTTGAAGACAACATCATTCCCTAAATTATCACTTTCCACAAATTTTCAGAAAGGAAATACATGGAAATTTGAGATCATTTTCCTGTTTTGAATTTTCTAGGTAATATGTCCCTTCCATTAGTGTAGATAATAGAGAGTTACATATAATGTGCTAAATTCACCTGAAGTGCCTACTCACCCCTAGGAATTAATTTACACATCAGGAGAATCTAGTAGAATAAATTACTTTTCATAGCCTCTGAAAATACAGAATGGGCCTCAATAGCACAGACATTAATACAAAGGATGGACAAATTCATCTTAACCTTAGGAGACAAGAGAAATGTAAATGAACAAAATTGCTGTTCAGAAATGCTTGTTAGGAGGGTTGTTTTTTTGCAGGATTCTGTCTATTTGCCACAATAGTCTCCCAGGTGGACTCTGTTGGAGAACTGGGTTACTCTAATCATTCTAACGAGGCATTTTGACATGACTGTTCTCTCTCAAATGATACCTCTCTTCATGGCCCCAAATCTAATTCTGCAGTTTGCAGGCATCTCAGTTGTTCTAAACAGAGAGTTGTCCTAACCTCTAGTATATTTTTATTCTTCAGTCTTAAGACATATACAGAATCTTTAAGATTTTACACAGTTTCAGAAGAAAGCAGTTGCAGTTTTAAAAAGCATACCTCAAGTAGAAAAGCTATGTGAAGTTACCTGTAATTTTACAGCTATGGGATGGGGGAAGAATGAGTGACTGAAAGATAACACTTCAAAATGGGTGTTTTGGGAGAAAGGGAATTAAGGAAAAGTCCTTATTTTAGTACCTTTTATAGATATACATTTAATTAATTAATTTAGGAACTTCAACAGGTAAGATTTCATTTGCTGAAATGTCAAATTAAGCAAGCATTTTATGTTAACCAACTGAAGTTGCTTTTCAATGCTAAATATTTTAAGCTTAGTTTACATTAGGTTACTTGATGTGTCAGCATGAAACAAAGCCTTTGGACTCAATCCCGAGTTTTCTATACTATCAGACTGCCATCTGGAATAATATAAACTAATACTGCTAACTGACCACCCACTAGGATATTCTCTTTTCACGTTAAGGTCATCTAACGAAATGGATGTTCATCAGCAAACATTCCCCTCAGCTGTTTTCCTTCCTAATACCCTTTTCTGTCAGGGTCACCAACTAATCTGTTTCCATTGGCCACCTTCCCTTTTGTTGTCTTCTAGTCACTCAACCTGACATTGTTTGATTTTGGTAAATGTATCTTCAAGTGTATTTTGTCTTTCACTTTTTTCTACCACAGTCATCTGCATAACTCCTATCCTCACCACTTCCACTTCCAGTATGACTTGCATCTCTGCTATATTTGCTACCATCACCACCATCATCCCACACCATGGTCTCCAATACCACCTCTATCCCCTCTACCTCCATTTCACCACTGCCATCTCCACTATGTGAGGTTATGCCTGAAATACTTCTGTCATTTTGTTTGAAACAGTCTGACCAAAGATCGCCATGATCTCTCCAAAGTCTGATGTCAATCACATACTAATGACAAGCTTATCTTTGAAAGGCTCAAACCCATCTTCCTGTCTTTCCAGAAGCTCTATACTTGGCCCCAACTCTCCAAATATTTTTCAGTTTCACTACCTACTTAACTTTCAGAATATATTTTGAATTTGACCCATACTTTCCATTTATAGGGTCATCATTCTAGTTCAGGAAGGGTGACCAATCATCCTGGTTTCCTCAAGACTTGACTAGTTTTAGCCTCATAAGTTCTGTATCCTGGGAAACCTTGGTCCCAGGCAAACCATGACTATTGGTGACCTTCAGTCTAAATCATCATGATTCTGGATCTAGGCTTCTGTAATAGCTTCCTGACAGCGATGCTATTTCAACTCTTGCTCTTTCCTTGACTCTTCTTCACATAAAAAAGGCAGACTGATCATTTTAAATTGGAACCTGATCATGAGACGATCCTTCTCAAAGCCCTTCCATGCATTCCCATTTCACTTAAAATAATCTGGATTTCTTATACTAAGAAGCTTTATATGATCTGACCCCTCCATCTCCTACTGCTGTTCTCCCAAGTTTGCCTTCTCTCCTCCAAACCTGTTAGGGACACATGGACTCAGAGCCTTTGCTACGCCCTTCTTTCTGCCTGCAGTCTTCTTCCCCTTGATACCACCATGGGTTGCTCCACTAGATTATTCAGCTTTCTGCTTAATGTAACACGGCTTTAGAGAGCTTTTCTATGGCCATGCTATTGAGGAAGTCCCGCCCACTCCTCAGCACTCACACCACCTCCCCCTTGCCCGGTTTCTTTTCTATCCTGGCACATGTCACCAGAAGGTCTATTTGGTTGAGGTTTTCCCCACCAGAACAGGAGGCCCACAAGTGACAGCAGACAGTAGAGCCATATCTGCCTGTTGGTGGAATAAGTGCAGATTCCCTGCAGTCAGCTATAGTCAGTGTCCTCAGTATCCACAGGTTGGGTTCTCCAGGGAGGCAAACTCAGATTTGCCTGTGGGAGGTTGACTGGGATGTGTCCTTTGAATCAACACCTGTGAGAAAGTGTAGAAAGCAGAATGGTTTGGGCGAAGCTGGGCTGTGGTTCAGTCATATCAGAGGCCTCAGCTGATCCTACGGGAGGTTCTAGAGCTATGATAACTCTTCAGAGTTGATCTGAATTCTGAAGAGGGA